TCACGTTTTAACTCCTCTTACCCTATTTTCAGTCACACTTTTACATTTATTTATACCAGTCACGTTTTAACTCCTCGTTTAGCTGCTATTTTGTCATATTCTGTGAGAAAACATGATTGAATTCAACCTTGGTGTCTGTGTATCCGAAGTATCGAGAAAACAAAACATGCATTGCATAAAATATTATACATAATCGATTCCGAAAGCTTTATTAGTTGTTTATTAGAAAATGTTTGTTATGTTTCCATTCTGTTTGCTTGTGAAAATCATTTTAAACCAGGATAGAATACTAGTTTTTTCCTCATTCTTCTACCTGTACCGCCTCGTCTGTGAATGCTCTATAGTAGTAATTCGAGGTGATATAAATTTCAAACTCTTATTTGTTAGGAATTATTTCATGTCATTTGTGTAGAACATATTTAAATACGATCCTTTGTAGATATTGTGAAGTGTGTTTATTGAAAATATTAAACAACGAAATCATTTATTTCTGAAAGTGTCGATTCGATTGAGTATATTGATTCGTTGTACTATTCGAAGTGCTTCTGTTTTGAGTGTATTGGCCCGCTCTTAATGTTACAATAAGAATTGTAAGCATCCTGTTGTACGGAATAGATTTCATATTGATCTGAAAAGCTCTCTTGACTGGGTTTGAAAATATGTCAAAAAAAGTCAAAGAAATTGTACATAACTTTCAGATCCAATACATCCACTTCAACTAGCAGGTGGAGAGCACTGGAATCCTTACGTACCACATCACCCATCAAACCTTTCGTCAGTTTCTACATTACAAGGAACTGGTTACAGTGGTTCTCCGTCATCCTTCTCACTTGATGGAATCTTTGGTGGAAATTCTCAGGACTCTCTTACTTCAGGTATTTTAAATAACTTTGTTAAGCATTTATGTTGTTGTTGTTTTCATTTTCAGGAGGTCGTTTGCCAAAATATTGTTGTATTTCATGAAATGTGTGATCCCGAGGTCGTTTACCAAACACATTATTGTATTTCATGAAATGTGTGATCCCGAGGTCGTTTACCAAACACATTATTGTATTGCATGGAATTTAGTATCCCGAGGTCGTTTACCAAACACATTATTGTATTGCATGGAATTTAGTATCCCGAGGTCTTTTACCAAAAACATGATTGTACTTATGGAATTTAGTATCCCGAGGTCGTTTACCAAAAACATGATTGTATTTTATGGAACTTGGGATCCCGAGGTTGTTTACCAAAAAAAGTTATTGTACTTCATAGAATTTGGAATCCCGAGGTCTTTACCAAAAACATTTTTGTATTTCATGAAATTTGGGGTCCCTTTTACGCACACATGTTAAGATATTCCATATTTATGGTCTAGTTTTACATATCTTTAAGGTATATGTTTTTTTGTATACATTTACAATTATATTTTAAATTTAAAGTTTTACAACAAGCTGTAGTCGTCGGGGTTAGCGTCACACATTTCCATAAACTTTATGTTTTGTGTGAAACAAAGTATTTATTTTATTTTCTCGTGTTATATCTGTTCTGTCAAATTAAGATAATCTTTTTTTGTATATTTGAAATGCCACATTTTTTTACAGGGCTACAAAAATGAATATTTTAGCGTTATGAGATGACTAGCATCTCGAATGCGCTATTGTAAAATATTTAAATATTCATTTGCGCACTATCTCAATGTTTCTCGCTGTCAACAATAAATAAAACAACAATTCAAATCCATTCTGAAGAGTTCGTAACGACAATGATCACACTATTATAATACATAAACATATAAATGCATATATACTTAAGATCACTCACGTTTTTGAGCAATTCCTTACCGAGTACGCGTTATTGTAACTAATTTTGACACCCCCCTCCCCCCAATGGGTCATCGGTGAGCTGGAGGCTTATCGCTAAAAATGAGGTTTCGACACCCGTGGTGGACATAGAGCAAACAGCCCATTGTGTAGATTTGCGCTTAACAACAAACAAAACCAAAACTCATATGTTCGATAACATTTGTGAAAAACATGCAGCTGAATGATTTATCAACTATCATTGCTACGAAATTTTACTTATTAAGTAAACGTGTTATAGCCATATTAGCAACTTGCTATAAAAACATAGAAGTAAATATTTAGTTTAAACAATAATGAAAAACCTCGACTCTTACCAAACATTTCATCTTGGTCCAATTGTGTTGAAGAAGTAAATCCGGTTATATAAATGTGTTATATAATGTTTGTAAGACTGTTAATGTAATTCCAAGCCTAAATATTAAATGTTTTTACGGCAAAAGTAGTCTCCGAGTCCCTCGGTGGGTGAACGGTAAGCTTACGGACTTAAAACACTAAAATCCGAGGTTCGATTCTCCGCGGTGGTCAGAGTGCAGATAGCATCTTTGTGTAGCTTTGCACAAACTAAACAACAACAATAATCCCCAGGTAATGGATAAAACACATAACAACAGTAATCCCCAAGTGATGGATAAAACACATAACAACAGTAATCCCCAGATGATGGATAAAACACATAACAACAGTAATCCCCAGGTGATGGATAAAACACATAACAACAGTAATCCCCAGGTGATGAATAAAACACATAACAACAGTAATCCCCAGATGATGGATAAAACACATAACAACAGTAATCCCCAGATGATGGATAAAACACATAACAACAGTAATCCCCATGTGATGGATAAAACACATAACAACAGTAATCCCCAGGTGATGGATAAAACACATAACAACAGTAAT